GGCGGCCTTCACGGGCCATTCTGCAGAGCCATGCTACACTCCACAGCCGGATCCACACTATGATTTGAGGCTTCTCATGGAGAGATCATGCTCCAGTATGGATCATTGTGTCCAGGCCTATCGTGAAACAGAGGGGATCCTCCTGAGCCTTAAGAAGAGCGTCGATGATCTTGAGCGATCTTGGGCGCAACCTGCTCCAGATCACCCTTCTGCTACCATACAAGAAGATGAGGAGGAAGAAGAAGGCTACAAGGACATTGTGGAGCACACTGAAGTTGTCACGGAGAGCTCCCGTGATGATCATGATCAGGAGTGTCCTGTCGTAGCCGACCAAACCTTCCCACACCCCAAACTGAGCTTTGAAGGGGCGGGCATGAGTGAGGAGATGCAAGAAGATCTCATGAAAGAAATTGCTTGGCAACTTGCTCTCCAATCCGTGCTAGAAGAAGAAGAGCAAGAAAGGGTGCAGAAAGAAGTTGTGGAGGATGACGAAAGTGAAGCAGGAGGAGTTCTTGATCATTTCCCAGGGGTGATACCACATGAAGAAGGAAGGGAGGTTGAAGAAGCAACTGGCGTCCAGGCTGACGACGGAGTTAAGGTGGAAGAGGCCTGCACTGGCCATGAGTTACATGTGATATCTCCACCAAACCTCGAGGAACTGCTTAGCAAGGACCCATTTGCAGTGTCTCTTTGCCAGACCAAGGCCACCTCGACTCTTGGTGGACGCGATGGTGGCCAATCGATGTTGTCATATCTGGTTTGGGGCAATGAGACGAGAGAAGAGAAGAAGAGGTCTCGAGGGTGGAGACTTCATCTGCATCAAGTACATGAGCCTTCATCACCTGCCACACCACATGCTCATGACTTGAGACTCCACCTCATCGACGAGAACCTCAACTTCAAGGAGGTTCTAGCATGGACCGAAACTTAGGAGCCATCGTCCGGCTCACGACGTGAAAGAAGCGCTTGTTGGGAGGCAACCCAACCAGTCGGTTTGCATTTCTTTCTCTATTTCTCTTCGGTGGAGTCAGTTTTGTTCTTTGATTTTAGAGTCAATAACTCAACCTTTGTGAGATTTTGTGTGGTGTTTGTGTTCTGATTACTCTCTCTTTCTGGAATGCACCGCCTGACCCGTTCATCACCATTCACCCTTGATCTGGTAACTTCGTTCTACCCTCCTTATCTTTCCTCCATTGAGGACAATGTCGTGCTTAAGTGTGGGGGGATGTTCGATTATGTATGCGGGTGAATGTTTGGCTGTTTGTGTGCTTGGAGCCTAGTCCACTGTCCAAATTTTTAAATTTGAGGGCTCCAAGTACGTGTTCCATGCAATTGCCTGCTCAGTATGCTTTGAATTGACAGTCTTTACAGTAATATGCAACCTAGGGAGGTAGTGTAGCACTATGGAGGATGTTGATGCATTTAAGGAGTCTCATTTCTTCTTCATATTGTGTTGGTTGATTGAGTGAATTAGTGATCTTAGGACCCTTGAATTGTATAGTGTTGTGGATTTTCTACCTGTCATGGACTCTTGTATCATGTTTTGAGTTTAACAGGTGCTCGAAAATGTGCTTCAAAATAAACGTCTCCCGTGCGAATAGGGCGAAAGTGTGTAAGGGGAGACGGGAATTCGTTCCCAATTTCCACCTACTACCTCCAGCCCCCTTACATGTCTTTCCCCCGCACGAGGCTCGAGACATCCGCTCCTGGCATGGCCGGTAAGAGCAGGTTGGGACCCTTGAAAAGAAAAAAAGAAAAGAAAAATAACAGAAAACAAGCAAAACAGAAAAAAGGGGTTCCAACCATCTTCAAAGAAAATCGAGCACCTTGAAAAATGTGAGTCCATGATCTTTTGTTTTTGAGAATCTCTTCATCCACAATTCATTTGTCCTCTGTTCACTGTTTGCCATGATGCCGACTGACCGAAGAAGCTATGAGATGACTTGTGCGTCGGTTGACCTCGTAAGCTGCTAAATGATCTAGGAAGTCCTCTACCTACGATCTAGGTTGTTTGTTGCTATAGAGGTCTGGAGAGTTGCATTGGTTTGAGTTAGGTTTGCTTGGGGACAAGCAAACGGTTAAGTGTGGGGGAGTTTGATAACGATGTAATTGCACATGTTTGCGCCCCTAGTTCTTATCCGTTTGAGGGGCATATTCGTGTGTTGTGGCCTATTTTATGCTAGGTTGTGTTCCTTTGTCCCATTTCAGGTCCTAGCACATAAAGTGAAGCATAGGCGCAAGTTTCAAGTCAATCAGAGATCAATTGACGATTCGAGAGAGGAAACTCGCGCATGACCTGAAGAAGAATGGATTTCTACCTCACTTTATGGACAAAGAAGCGTGCAAGCTTGTTATGAAACGAAAGAGGACGAGACTACGAGCGTCTGGGATCAAACGGCGACTGATTCGGAGTCCGGACGAGGGAGAAACGAAGCATTAAACAGAGGCTGAGCAAGCTGCACGGGCAGACCAGGGAGGCTGCACGGCCGTGCACCCTGGCCGTGCGAGAGGGCTGAAGTTCGACTAAATGACACGCTGCGTTTTGAGTTGCACGGCCAGAATGGTGATATGCACGGCCGTGCACCCTGGCCGTGCGAGTCGGGAAATCTGGTTTTAAGCCAAATTCCGAACCAAAGGAGAGAGAGAGCTGGGTTTTGGATCCCAAACACCCAAGGGACGAACCAAAGAGAGAGAGGGCGATTTGAGGGCATTCTTGGAGTAGAGAAGGAGGATTTCTTCGCCTTGGAAGCTTGAGGAACAAGCCCGGACTTGAAGACTGATCATCTGAAGATTCTTACTGCAGTCTCTCTCTTCTCTATGGAGTAACTTCCCTTCACTTAGGTTTTGAGGAACCCTAGCTATGTTTGTTTGATTGGATGATTGTATGAGTACTCTGACTGGATAATCTTGAGTTCATATTCAATCTATGCATGTTTTCATGATTCAATTCTGCTTTAGTCGAGATTATTGATTCTGCTTTGATTCTATGAGAGGGAATACCTGATTAGGTCAATAGAGCACCATAGATTGATAGTAGTGGATCGATTGCTTTAGTCGAGGGTTGATTCACTGCTTTGTATCGATTGAGAACCTCTTTCGATAGAGGGAGTCTAGTTCAGAACGCCTTGATCAGTTGTTCTAGAGAAGGATACGTCCCTCTAGGCAATTGACTCAAGAGGGCCTTGTTCCTTTAGTCGAGACTCAAGGTCTAGTCAAGGATTCTCCGCATTGTGAATGAAAGTGAAACAGGTTAGAGATCATCAATCGTTAATCTGGCTAGTGGCTAGGGGGAATCATACCTAAGTGAGTTCCCAACCTGTAATTAGATTAACTTTAACTGTAGTTTGCTAGAGTAGTTTTAGTTCTTTCATCTTAATTTGGTTTGCTAAATAATAAACTGAAGCTGAGTAATAGTAACTCTAGAGACCCGTGGATTCGATATTTATCACTTGAGCCACTATACTGCAGTCCCTTCCATTGGTTACACTTGGCCATTGTTAGGTGTTGTGTTTTTGGAGTGTCAAAGGTGCAAGCAAATAATGGATTTTTTTTAAATCCATGATGGATTGGATTTGGTACCCAAATCCATCATCCAAATCCATGAAGCAAATGACCCCTAAAGGAAGATCAGTTGGAGAAGGGCCATAAATCACACCACCAGATCTCAAATGCCATGGATATGAGAGATGATGATAATAATAATAATAATACAAAATTTACAAGAAATTGAGCGTCGTCCCTTGGATTCGAATCTAGGGACTCCAAACGGAAAACTAGTGGCACGGCCGCTATGTTATAGCCTCATGCGCAACTCAAGATGATAATAAATTTTTTGTGCACACAAAATAAATAAATAATAATAATACTGGAATCATTTTTTGTAGTTTGATACAACTTTTTGCACAATTTTACACAAGGATTCTCACTAGTAATAATAATAGTAGTAATTTTAGAACTAATTGTGATCAAATCGATCATAAAAGTTATAGGCAACTTCCTCTTCATCTGTCATAGCAATCTCCTCTTCATCGTCATTCTCTAACCGCAACTTGTGCATCAACAAGGCATTCATTATGAAGGGTGGCATCTCAGGTTCAGGTCCGTGTCCCGGCAGTTCGGGTAGCGGTGGTGATCTTTCCTGATAAGTAAAGTCATATTCTACTGTGTCATGGTGGATCGCTAGCGGATAAGCATATCTCTTTCTTCTGCTGAATGCGAATGCATAAATCTCTTCGAACCCACTGCATCTAGTCAATCTCAAATGCACCATGGAATAGGTCGCAATGAGCAGCCGACCGCCTGGGTATGTCGGTAAATTGTCACCGACGATGCTGCAATCTTCCAATGTCAACTCTCGGAGATCTCGGCAACCACCAATAAACTCGGTCAGAAATCTCGCCTCTATCAACCGCCCCTTTTGCACCACGAGGGATCTCAGACACCTGATTTTATCATATCAAAAGCAATAAAAGGAGATTTAGTTAGTTAACTAGCTAGCCCGCACAAAGAAACTAATGAAATATCTAACTTCTACAACTCTAATTTCAAAAAGACAACTCTGTCTAGTTATAACAATACTCAGTATTATAACACAATCCTACCACTTATTTATGGAGGTTCTCCATTCGAACCTATTCCATTCGAAATTTCTAATTATTATATGTTTTATTTAATAAATCCTTTAAATAAAAATCGAGAGAGGCATCTAATTATAGCTCTCCGCTCTCCAATTAGCTAGCCATTCTCTCTCCTTAATATCAATATCCTAATATTACTAATATATCATTTCAACTTAATATTTACATATTTTGGCTTAGAAAAATTAAATTTAATAATATTTTCATAATTGTATTCATTCATGGTCACATTTATTCGAAAGCCCCACCTGTGAGATGACATTGCTAATAGACTTGCATTTTTTGTTTTATAACATGCCAAATTGAAGTCGTTCATAGATCATATAAAAGATATAAATAACCAATTAGGGTATAGTTTGGAGCCAAGACATGGAAATTAGTATATTGGATATCTCTTATTTGCTTTTACAAAAACAAAAAATGGTAAGTATTAGTATGTATTAGTTGTATTGTTGCATTGCATGTTGTTAATTGGGCAACCATTGTGACATTCAAAATATTTTGTTTGTCATGTTTTCATATTTTATTGGATTATATTTATCCGCAGTCTTACTTTTCAGTTTTTTCCGTAGTATGCATACCATAATATTTTTACATTACTCACGAGCACCCTTATCTTTGAGGTGGTAGATTTTCTCATATGTGAATGAGATTCTCACTATTGAAGAGAGTATTTAACACGAAAACCATAATTTTATTGGGTTAATACCATAGTTTGGCCCGAAGTTTAGCGTTAGTGACAGTTCTGGCCCCATTTTTCAAATAAGACATTTGTGGCCTACTTTAGAAATTATTGGACAAATTTGGCCCGAGAGACGGTTTGACTGTCAGAATTAACGGTCAACTATTTTTCCATCACTGACTCAGCATTTGCCACTGACTGGGCTTGTCCACATCATTTAAAATTAAATAAAATAAAACAAATAATAATAACAAATGAAAATACTGAATTACAGAGAAGGGGTCACGTTGACCACTAGATCTTCCCCTTATTCACTCCATCGTTTCTCCTTCCCCCAGTCGTTCCCGAGCGGCCGACGATTCTTCCGCCTCTCCTTCTTCTTCGCCAGCTCCAATCATCACCGCCCTCCCCTTGGGGTCAACCGCCAAGTACTGACCAGGAACTATCCTCCTGCATCTGGACTTCCCAAATGTCTCCGGGTGAACTTTATCAAACACACTCTTCTCCTTGTCGTACTTCAAAATCACAATCCACCCGGAATCGGAACTAGCGACAATTTAATCCTTCTGAGATCCAGTAAGTCTGAATTGAGCCAAAGAGCGAATAGCACCGAATATTTCGATGAAAAGAATGATTTGGAGCCTACCGATGTCGTCGGGACGGAGGAGATCGAGAAGCTTTCCCCGCGCAATGACGATCTCTTGGAACTTCCTGCCAGAGAAGCTTTCGTTAATGGCGGCCACCACACCGATGGGTCGCTGAGGTGTTAATCAGTGGGCAAGTGGAAGAAAATGGGAGGGGTGGGTTTTGATTTGCTCGGTCGCAGAAAGCAAGGCAGGGCTAGCAGCGACGGGGAAAATGGGAGTTGGAGGTGGCGGCGGGTGAAAGTGGGAGGTGGAGGTGGTCGCAGGGATGGGTGGGTGGTAGGGTTGAAAATGGAATGGGGGATTAAGTGGGCTCCAAATTAATTTACTTGTTTTTCCATGTTTTTTTTTTCATTTTAACATAAAAAAATTATGTGCAAATGATGTGGCAGCCATGTTAGTGCCACCTCAGCACTGAATGCTGAGTAACTAACAGAATAAATGTTTGACCGTCAGTTTTAACGGTCAACATAATTTCCGGGCCAAATTTGTCTAATAATTTTAAAAGTGGGCCATAAATGTCTTATTTGAAAAATGAGGCCAAAACTGTCACTAACGCTAAACTTCGGGCCAAACTAGGGTATTAACCCAATTTTATTTGATCTAACAACTCAATAAAGGAGTTGGGTCTCCGATCATGTTTCTGAGCAGTGACTCGCATCGATTCCAAGACAAATACTATTCTTCAACTTGCTATAATAATTATCGACTAAGAAAAACAAACTAATATTTTCACCAATGACCACACGAGTTTTCACTCTATGATTCAAATTTGGAAATATTAAATATTGTTACTTTTCTGAGGATAATGGTATTTGGGTGCAAATACTCAAAAACGTGATTAAGGATTGACATTCATTGTTTCGAGAGCACATAGTATATGCCTTTGAGAGCTTCAAATTGAGTCTACCAACAACAGATTACATGCCAATTTCAAACAAATTGATTGACAAGATGAAATCTAAAATATTGCTTTGGATGTAACGAGGAGGAGAAGAAGAAAGAAATTATTGATGGTGGAGATAGGTTTCATTAATAAAGATAAATGTGATGTTATTGCTGGAAGAGATAATGTTGATGATGGAGCAATCGAAAAGAAGTAAAAAAAGAAAATTCGCAGTAGTCTTTGTCTCTTTGACATCAATCAGTAAATCGAAGTGTGATTTGCTTATGATTTTTATGAGTGGGTTTTTTTTATGGTTAGAGTGAGTTTCATTTAATGGATTTAGTCATTTACTTTAAATAAGGACTTTCAAAGATGCATATGTTAGCACAACAGAAAACTTTATGATATATTTTTTTTAATTCAATCATTTGGATTTTTTACGGTACCAATTAGGCAAATACAAACATAAATTGCTTTATATAGCTGTTATTGTTATTTATGCTATTTACAAAATATATTCGCCCAACTGGCGAGCCCAAATCTAGTATTACTCATACTAGGATCCTCTTGACAGTTTAATCATCTTACTCAAAGCTTCCGCGGCGTGGGCTGGTGAATTGGAATTGGGCCCTGAGAATGTCCATGTCGCAGTTCCGCAGGGTCAAGTGTTTGAGCAGTTCCGCCCGGCTTTTCCCCGACAAAACCCTGCTCAGGGAGAGTCCGTCGCCGCGCGGCGGCAGTGGCTGCCGGCGCCGGCTTAGAAAAGACACGACTCTGAAGCGGCAGCAGGTGCAGCCGTGCAGGCGCCGTCCACCAACGGCGCCCTCGTTTTGTACCTGTCCATGTTGAATTCGATCCATCCGCAATCGGGATCCTCCGGTTCGAAATTCAGCTCCAGCGAGTCGATCGAAAAGTCCTTCCGGCGGAGCGGAACGGCTGACCCGGGCGGCGGAGAGGGAAGCGCTCTCGCCGGCGGATGACCTGATCGACCCAGCTCAGGAATTCACCCACGGTGTCGAAGTACGAGACTGGGTTACCGCCGGGCACGAACTTGGTGGTGCTGTTGCCAGCGAAGTGAGTGTTCGGCAACTCCGACCTCCACTGACTCCGCCATCGCCGGGAGAGGACGCTGGTCCTCGCCGCCTTATCCAGCGGCAGCACGGCGGCGATCTTGCCCAGCAGCTCCGCTGGCAATTTGCCAAAGTAAGGATCTCCTTCCATTCTTATTTCTCAAAAATTATTAACTTCATCCACATTTATATAGGTCGGAGTTTGGCAGCCTTACTCCGAAAGGGAAAAGGAGAAAAGGGAAAAGTTGAAACCCTGATTCGATTCCGTCCCAAGTGTATTAGGGCTTTTCTGCTCCACGGAACCTTACAGCAAAAGCAGCCTCTGTATCCATTCCAAATTGTGTTCCCAAACCCATATCTCAATAAACTAGACTCTGCAGAAGAGATTGATTCTGCAGAGACCTTCAGTATAATACCATAATCCACTATAAATAGTCCAACAAAACTTGGCACAAATTTGATGTATACAAAAGAAAAGAGTATATATCCAATATATTGCTTATACTAAACTGAGATATTCTGGTTTGAATCCTTCACTTATTTTAGCACTTTACACATCTCTCTAATGTGTTAGTATCATATCATTCATCATTCTCTAACTCCATGCACAAAAGCTGTGCATGAACAAGTGGGTAGCAACTGAAACAAACAAACTAACCAGGGATTACATAAATGAATGAAAACACTTTTTTATCTCTGCAAACTGCTCTTCTTTTACTACTTGGCTACCTGCTCCAAGATGGGAGCTTTGTTCCAAGGCTCCTCCAACCCACTCACCTGAAGCGGAGGCAACGAAAACACACTCACAGTGGAACTTCTGCTGCGAATCTCCTTCAGAATCCTCAACGCAGACATGGAGCTCTTCATGTACAAGCTCTGCATCTGCTCGATCTCCGCAAGTTCCTTGGGGAGCACGTTGAGCACTCCGTCCTCGACATTGCTTGTAGCAGCTGAGGTTGAAGGACCCGCGCATCCTCCATCACCATCGTCGCTCGAGGAACGGCTTGCTGCTCCATATGCTGCTGCTAATTTCACAGGGAACAGGCGGTCGAGCATTGTCTCGCACTCCTTAACAAGCTTGTTCAGCAAGTCGGTGGTGAAGAAGGGCTCTTGCAGGACCTTCTGGATGAATGGCAGCCGGATTAGCGCCCCGGTTCTCTTGTCGTACTTCTTCAGTATCTTTGCCAGTCCTGTTTCAATGAATTCATCGCAATGAGACCCCACGAAATGGTGATTGAAACACACTAGGGGAGGGTAGCAACCAGATTGTGAGTGTTTTTTTTTTACCTGTATAGTTAAGGGCACTGTAGTTCTCGAGCAGAACCATCTCTCCATGGAAATCGACAATCTCTTTACGAATCGCTATGATCTCGTCATTCGAGTCCTTTGCTCTCGCTACTGAATCTTGCAGCTCCTGATTCAGGAAGAAAGTTGTCAACCAGTCAGTTTCTACTCAAATCTCAGTTCACACTAGTCGAGAGAAAATGAAAATTAGAGGTATGAAAGTGCAGCTCATTCTACTAGTGGGGACCAAAAGGGAATATTGTCGCGGGACTGATCCGAAAGGAATATAGAAATGTGAGTGCTACTGCTAGCCAGTTGGTTCATGGAAAAAGGATAAAAAATTAAAAACTCGCCACTTGGCGATTAATTATTGGTAGCTGACCGGCGGTAAAAATGAGAATGACTTAACGGACTTAACTGCCGGCAGTGCCGTCACAGTAACTTTCCCTCTCTCCGTCCGGCAGATCTAACACTTCTCTAGTCTCTCCAACTTAAAATCACTACGACGACACCGTTTCCACAATTACGACTAAAACGAGTTTTCTCAACAGATCGAGGAACCGTTGCAGGGGAAAACGGAAATGGTGGAGAGAAGAAAGGGCGAGGAAGATAACATTTCTTTTACCTTCAATCGGATGATGTACTCTTCCTCCTTCTCGACGAAGAAGGAATTGAACTTCTCGAGCTCGTCCTCCAGGAGCCTGATGAAATCGATCTCCTCCTCCGTCATGGATGCGGAGCAATCGCCGCCGCCTTCCAATCTCGGCCGCTTGGCGGGTCTGTTATCATCTCCCACGGCGGCGGCCTTGTTGGGCTCGATGAGCTTCAATCGCTTCTTGAGCTCCTTGTAGGAGAGGAACTTGTCCCTCCACTCGGGGAGAGTCTCGTCGATCTGGGTGCTGAGGCTCTTGCCGAACTTCATTGCAGAGATGGGGGGCTGTTTGGCCGACGAGAAAATGCGGAGAGAGGAAGTGAGAAGGGAATTAATTGGAGGAGGAGGTATGGGTTTCTGAGAGGGGAGAAATGGGGGAAGGAAGGAAAGGAAGGAAGGGGATAGTTATACTGTTGTGGATGAAGAAGGGGAAGGGGAAGGGGAATATTCGAGGGGTAATTTGGGAATATCCGATTTCTTTCTGAAAGGGTATATCTTTGGTTTTATTCCTTCTTCTGTGGAGGGACGGAGGAAAGACGGTCCCAACTGCGCACCACTAGTATTCTGTATTCTTATTTTAATTTCACGTATTGGGAAATTTATTATTTGTGTCATTTTCATTAACTGGTTAGTGCGGTTTAAGTATGAGTAATGTACTAACGTTTTCATTAATATATATATTATGAAGCAAATATGTTTTAAAATATGCACAAAATTAATATTGTTAATTAGTCATGTTATCCACATCAATGGGTTATGTAATGGAATAGTTAAGATTGAATTTTTCTTCTGTCCATACTTACATTTGATACATGACTATGTTATGTATATTGTCATCTTTCAAAAAAAAAAAAAAACTATGTATATTCTCATCTTCACGAATTGAGAGCGTCATCGGTTGCTTCTTACTCGAGCTCAATCATATCTCATTTATGATATATTTTTGGGTCATTGGAAATGTACCCAAAAATAAGTCGTTCCTTAAAGGTATCTTAGAAGTCATGATCATCTTTATCCCTTTTACTCATACTCCGATGAGATCATCATGTCTATCCTCCCCGCAAAACTTCATAATTTCAAAGCGTTAATCACCTTGTATCTATTACGAGATTCCAACAGCAGCTCCGGTCCCAATTCATAAGGTATTCTTGTTCCGTCACATTCTTTCGAAAGAGAAAAGTATAATGTCTCTTTGACGCACTTTTTCTCCCGTAAAAACATGTTTATCGCCTCCTCGTTTATTTTCCGTGAACAAGTCCGTTAGCGCGCGCCACATACCCATCTCGCCAACCTCCCAAGTCCTAACTCAACCGACAGTCTAGTGACCACTTTAGACATTTCACCTAACTTATGTACTGTAGGCTGTAGCTGAAGGATAAATATATAATAATTAGGTTATCAGAGTTTGGTGGAGGAGTTGAAGATAAGTCAGTGGCGGACTGGCGGTGACGGTGACGACGGAGAGGCGCGATCAGCCGAGATGGCAGCCAACAGATTCTTGCGTGGCGCTCAATACCGAAGCGGACGTATTTGGCATAATTCCAAACTGCCTTTCAAAGAATATTCCCTTCCTGCTGCAATCTCCACTACTACCACGTTTGCCTCCGAGCTGACACAGAGACGAACTTGGTATAGAAACAACGGGGGCAAAAGTGAGGCATCCAAACATGGTCCATTAGATATAGGGGAATGGCGACACAGGTCAACTAGTTTCAATTGGACCGCTTCTCTGAATTCCAGCCGTTACTATTTACGTTTTTGTTTGTTTTTTTGGTCCTCAACCGTCGTATCAGGATTCATGACGCATGACAATTGAAGATTGTGATTGTTGTTCGTCATAATTCCAGAGTTGGAATTTCCGTGAATTTTAGGATGAGATTTTAGGTATATTGATACTTATAGTTATATCCACGAATTAATCTCATATCGCCAACTAAGAATCTGAAACCAATATATATTTATCATCCTACCAACCGTACGAGAAATCGCGTGGAAATAAACTCTCGTGATGTATATATGAATATTATCAGACCGGTTCGTTACTCACTTACACTCCCCCCAATGTTGTAATCAATTTGGCTGGCATTGTCAAGGATAATTCCTAATTGTTTATTAATCATGTACTTAGTGGGTATTTAGTGGTTAGATTAGCTCCTCGTTAGTAGCTACGTGGGTTAGTAGTCAGTTGTAGATTGTGTATAATTCCAACTATCAAACCTAATACAAACAGATCATTCAACAATCACATGGTATCAGAGCATCGGTTATGATTTCCTTAATCCTAAACCTAATCAAACACAATTTCTTTTCCTCTCTCTCTCCTTTTCTTTTCTTTCCCGTCTCTCTTTCTGTACCAGCGCCTCTTCTCTGTGCGTCTTTCTTCCCGCCGCCATGTTCACCAACACTGGAGAATCGGTTATCAATCTAGGGGACTCAAACACCATTATCACTCTGAATCCAGTCTCCCAACTTCCCATCAAGCTCTCCGGCGACAACTTCCCCACCTGGCGCGCCAAATTATTTACTCTTCTTCGGGGGCTCGATCTCCTGAAGTTTCTCGACGGCTCCCATCCTCAACCGGCTGACAATTCCCCCGCCGAGCTCCGAACTCAGTGGTTTCGGCAGGATCAACTGCTTCTTCATGCGGTTATTTCCTCTGTCACTCCGGCGGTTGCTCCGTATGTCACCGCTGCTGTCTCCTCCCGGGATGCTTGGACAATCCGGGAACGCATGTTTGCTGGCCAATCTCGTCAGCGTGTGATCAATCTCAAAGGCAAGATCCTCCGTGAAACTCAAGGCTCACGTCCCGTCTCGGTCCATCTCCAAGCTATGCGTAGCACTACCTCCGAGCTCGCCCTGGTTAATGCTCCGGTCTCTCCTGAGGATATGATCCTCCATATTTTGCGCGGCCTGCGTGATGAATTCAGCCAGCTTGCTGCTGCCATTCGCGCCAGAGACACTACTATCCAAATTGAAGACCTCCATGATCGGCTGGTGGATTTTGAGGCCGATTTAGCTGCTGCCCAGATTCCCCAGCACGCACCCACCACCGCTTTTCCAACTACTCGTGGTCGTTCGCGTCATCAATTCTCGGGCTCTCGCCCCACTGGCCAATCACGCCGTGATTCTTCTCCGTCTCTCTATTATAGAGCCGATCCTCGCCGGGATTCCAGCCCTCGGTCTTCTCGTGGTTCCTCCTCTCCGCGTGCTGGCTCAGGCTATTCCTCCTCTTCACTCCTCGGCCGACCTCCCCTTCGCTGTCAATTTTGTGACAAACTCGGCCACTCGGCCAAGGAGTGCTACAGCATTCGTGGTCGGCCTCAGGCACACCACACCACTGCCTCGTCATCTTCTGCCGCCGGCTGGATGGTTGATTCCGGGGCCACTAATCACATGACCCCTGATCTTGGGAATCTCTCTCTATACAGATTATGCTGGCCCGTACGAAGTGTTCATCGGCGATGGGTCAGGTTTGACAGTTACTCATGTTGGCCA